AATATATAATCTGTTGCTTAGGTAATTCAACCTCAGTGCTAGCAGGCTTGTTTTTTGGCCTACCGGATTATATATATATATATATGTATGTATATATATGATAACTTGGTGATGCAGAGTCATCTTACACATGGGATAAAATACCTGCACACAATGGCTTCAAGTCGCAGTTCTTGACTACAGGCAGAACAGGACAAAGAATCATGTTAGTTTTAGGCTGCCTGTCCGCAACATGAGCACACGGCAGAAATCTCACACAAACTACAGATTTCTCCTCCACTCAAGAGACATCCTTTGCTATCTGCTATAGACTCCTGAATATCTTAAGAGGATAAATGTACAATAAGAGGTATAATCTTGGAAGGAAATGGCACTGGAATGGTGTGTTAAAAGACTCCTGGTGCATGGGAGAGGAATCCTATGGAAGAATCTCTTTGATCAAATCTTCCAGAATCTTGTAGGTGTTCAGACTGAATGAGAAATCTCTCCAGGTTCAGAAATGTGAACAATACAAAGAAAATCATTCAAAATGCAGAAATCAATTTACATTCATTATTAATAAAGTCTTATGAATTAGCAAGAGCGAAATCCTACACTGTATCAATTACCCTCATATATGTTCATAGTGTCAAATAAGATATGATATTCATCTTAAGAAAATACTACAAAAAGCAATCCTACACCTTATCATAATATCAATATTTGGTGCCTAAATAATCTTAGTAATAAGGACAAGGAAGAAGTCAATAACTAATACCCTCAGCCATTTCAAAATAAACTGAAAAAACAAAACAAAAAACAAATAACATGAGTATATATTTAAAACCACAACTTCATTAGTATCTAACTCTGACTAAATTTGAAAAAGAGAAAAAAAAAAAAACAATAAAAATATCTAACACAAAGAAGTTAAATTTGGAATTTTACCAAAAGATATAATCTAATATTTTGAATTATCTAATACAAAAAAAAAAAAAGAAAAGAAAAGAGACTAAAAAGGAAAACCCTCTTTAAGAAAAATGAATAAATAAGTAACTGAATAAGTTGATAAAGCAAATGAACAAATAAATAAATGGATAAATGGAGGAATAGAGGAAAAAGAGAGAAAAAGATTGATAAATAGATAGCCAAATGAATAAATAAACAAAAGACAAACTCAAAACTAACTTGGTGGATAAATGAAAATCAAATAAATAATAAAAAAATAAGAAAAGTAAATAAATAAACTAAAAATAAATCAATAAATGTATTAGGTAAAAATAAACAAGCAAATGAACATAAATCAACAATAAAAACAAAACTAAAATAAAAAATATAAAAAATCAACAGCGCCCCCTAAAAGCAACCTTAATGAACAAACTGAACAGCGCTTCAAGAACTAACAATGAATAAAATATAAAATAATATAATAAATAAATAATAAAATGATATAATAATAATAAATAATAATAATAATAATAATAATAAATAATAAAAATAATAAAATAATAAAATAATAAAACAAACAATGCCCTCAAAAACAAACTTAAAAAAATATTAATTCAATAAAAAAAAATTAATTAATTAATTAATTAAAATCTAATAATAACTCACTGGTGTTGGGCGAGAATACAAAGGGAAGAAAAAGAAGGAGAAATAAGAAAAAGAAAGAAAGAGAGAAAAAAACAGCGTCCTTAAAAAACAAATTTGATAAATCAATAAACTTAAAAGAAAAAGAAAAAGAAAAAGAAGAAAGAAAGAAAGAAAGAAAAGAAAGAAAGAAGAGAAGAAAGAAAGAAAGAAAGAAAGAAAGAAAGAAAGAAAAAAGAAAGAAAGAAAGAAGAAAGAAAGAAAGAAAGAAAGAAAAGAAGAAAAAATAGCGTCCCAGGAAACCCACTGGTGTTGGCGAACTGTCCAAGGATACGAAGAAAAGAAAAGAAAAGAAAGAAAGAAAGAAGAAGAAGAAGAAGAAAAAACAACTAATCATCGCCCAATTAAAAACGAATTATATATGTATGAATTAGAAAAAAATAGTCCCTTAGAAACGAACTAAAATATACATAAACTTGGGCGATTTGTCAAAGGATACAAATAAAATAAAATAAAAAAAGAAAAAGAAAATAGAAAGAAAAAAGAAAGAAAAAAAGAAAGAGAGAAAGAAGAAACAAAACAAAAACTAAACATCGCCCTTTAAAAACGAACTTAATATACATAAACTCACAAAAATAAATAAATAAATAAAAAATAAATAAAAAAAATAAAAATAAATAAATAAATAAATGAAAAAATAAAAATAAAATAAATAAATAAATAAATAAAATAAAATAAAATAAAATAGAATAAAAAATAAAATAAAAAAATAAATAAATAAAAAAAAAAAAATGAAAAAAAAAAAAATAAATAAAAATAAAAATAAACAAAAGGATCAGCGCCCTGGAACTCACTGGTGTTGGGCGAGTTGTCGAAGGATACAAAGAAAATAAAATAAAAAAGAAAGAAAGAAAATAGAAAGAAAAAAAAGAAAAAAAGAGAGAAGGAGAAACAAAACAAAAACAAACATCGCCCTTAAAAAACGAACTTATATACATAAAACTAAAAAAAAAAAAAAAAAAAAAAAAAAAAAAAAAAAAAAAAAAAAAAAAAAAAAATAATATAATAACAAAAAAAAAAAAAAAAAAAAAAAAAAAAAAAAAATAAAAAACAAAAGGACCGGCGCCCCCGGTTAACTCACTGGTGTTGGGCGAGTTGTCGAAGGGGTACGAGGCCACGAGGGCGCCGCCGTGCAGGTTGGCCGAGAGCACGAACTGGATCTTGGACACCCACTGCTTCACCGCTTCTGCTTCTGGCTGCGACCGCTTGTTGTTCTGCTTGAAGTAGTCCGGGAAGTTGCGGTTCAGGTCGAAGCCGCGGGAGTTGTACCTGGGGGAGAGCAGGGGGGGGAGGGTGAGGGGGGGTTTGGGGGGGGTGAGTGGGGTTGTGGGGGTTGACCTGGGGGAGAGAGCAAGGGGGAGGGGGTGAGTTGGGGTGTTGTACCTGGGGGAGAGAGCAGGGGGGGGGGGGGGAGGGGATGTGAGTGGGGGTTGTACCTGGGGGGAGAGCAAGGGGGAGGTTGGTCCTGGGGAGTAGGGGGACGGGGGGGAGGGGTGTAGCGGAGGGAGGGAGGAGGTGGGGGTTGTACCTCCGGGGGAGAGCGGGGCGGGGGAGGGGTGAGTGGGGGGTTGTACTTGGGGGAGTGAGTGGGGGTACCGAGGGAGGGGGGGGGAGGGGGTGAGTGGGGGGTTGTACCTGGGGGTGAGTGGGGGAGTGAATGGGGGAGGTAGTGGGAGGTTGTACTGGGGGAGTGAAATGGGGTGTCTGGGGAGAGCGCAGGGCGGGGGAGGGGGTGAGTGGGGGGATAGCTGGGGGGGGTGATGACAGTGGGGGGTTGTTACCTGGGGGAGAGCGCAGGGAGGGGGTGAGGGGGCGGGGTGAGTGGGGAGGTTGAATGGGGAGGGGGTGAGTGGGGGGTTGTACCTGGGGGAGAGACGAAGGGGGGGGGGGTGAGTGGGGAGTTGTACCTGGGGGAGAGAGCAGGGGAGGGGGGGTGAGTGGGGTTGTACCTGGGGGGGGGTGATGGGGGATGTGAATGGAGGGAGGGGGTGAGTGGGTGTACCTGGGGGAGAGAGCAGGGAAGGGGGGGTGAGGGTGAGTGGGGGTGGGGGTTGTACCTGGGGGAAGTGAAAGGAGTTGACCTGGGGGAGAGGCAAGGGGGGGGGTGAGTGGGGGTTTTAGCTGGGGGGGGGTGAAGTGGGGGTTATAGCTGGGGGGGAGTGAGTGGGTGTACCTGGGGAGGGGTGAATGGGGTTGTACTGGGGGAGGGTGACGTGGGGGGTACCTGGGGAAGGGGTGAATGGGGTTATAGCTGGGGGAGGTGATGGGGTTGTACCTGGGGAGACCGCAGGGCGGGGGGTAGATGGGGGTTGTAACTGGGGGGAGAGAGCAGTGCGGGGAGTGACATGGGGGGTTGTACCTGGGGGAGACCGCAGGGGGGAGGGCGAGTGAGGGTTGTACCTGGGGGAGAGCGCACGGGGGGGAGGGGGTGAGTGGGGGTTGTACCTGGGGGAGAGAGCAGGGGGGGGAGGGGGTGAGTGGGCGGTTGTACCTGGGGGACGGGGGTGAGTGGGAGTTGTACCTGGGGGAGAGCGCAAGGGGGGGGGTGAGTGGGGGTTGTACCTGGGGAGAGCGCAAGGGGGGGGGGTGAGTGGGGGGTTGTTACCTGGGTGGGAGTGAATGGGGAGTTTGTAACCTGGGGAGACCCGCAGGGGGGGAGGGGCGGGAGTGGGGGGGTTTATAGGCTGGGGGAGTGAGTGGGCGGGAGAGCGCGGGAGGGGGGGAGGAGGGGTGAGTTGGGGTGTACTTGGGGGAGCGGGGTGATGGGGGGTTGTACTTTGGGGGAGTGATGTGGGAGAGGCGCTAGGGAGGGGAGAGGGGTGAGGGGTTTGTTACCTGGGGAGAGAGCAAAGGGAGGGGGGGTCGTGAGTGGGTGGTTGAGTGGGTTGTAACCTGGGGAGAGAGCAGGGAAGGGGGGTGAGGGGTAGTGGGGTTTGTACCTGGAGGGGGGGTGAGTGGGGGGTTGTACCTGGGGAGGGGTGAGTGGGGGGGTTTGTACCTGGGGAGGGGTGAGAGCGCAGGGGGGGGGAGGGGTGTGATGGGGGTTGTACCTGGGGGGGGTGAGGGGGGGTTGTACCTTGGGGGGGGGATGAGTGGGGGTTGTACCTGGGGGAGAGAGCAGGGGGGGGGGTGATGGGGGTGAGTGGGGGGTTGTACCTGGGCGGTGAGGAGCAGGGTAAGGGGGAGAGAGCAGGAGAGGGGTGAGTGGGGTTGTACCTGGGGGGGGAGTGAGTGGGGGGTTGTACCGGGTGAGGGGCGTGAGTGGGGGTTGTACCTGGGGGGAGCTGGGTGAGGGGTAGGGGTTGTACCTGGGGGAGAGCGCTGGGTGATGGGGTGTACCTGGGGGGAGTGAATGGGGGTTGTACCTGGGGAAGCGCAGGTGGGGGGGAGGGGGTGAGTGGGGTTGTACTTGGGAGTGAGTGGGGGAGGCGGGTGAGGGTGAGTGGGCGGGTTGTACCTGGGGAGGAGGGGTGTGGGGAGGGGGGAGTGGGGGTTTACTGCGGGAAGGAGGGTGAGTGGGGGGGTTGTACCTGGGGGAGAGGGGCGGACCTGGGGAGAGCGCAGGGAGGGGGGAGGGGGTGATGGGGGGGTTGTACTGGGGGGAGTGAATGGGGGTTGTACCTGGGGGAGACCGCAGGGGGAGGGCGAGTGAGGGTTGACCTGGGGAGGCGCAGGGGGTGAGTGGGTGAGTGGGGGTTGTACCTGGGGGAGGACAGCAGGGGGGGAGTGAATGGGGGTTGTACTTGGGGGAGTGAGTGGGGGTTGTACCTGGGGAGAGCGCAGGAGGGAGGGGGGGTGAGTGGGGGTTGTACCTGGGGGAGAGCGCAGGGGGGGAGTGGGGGTTGTACCTGGGGGGCAGTGAATGGTGGGTTTGTACCTGGGGGAGAGCGCAGGGCGGGGTGAGGGGGTGAGTGGGGGTAGTACCTGGGGGGAGTGAATGGGGGTTTGTACCTGGGGAGACAGCAGGGAGGGGAAGTGAATGGGGTTGTACCTGGGGGGAGTGAATGGGGGTTTGTACTGGGTGTATGGGTAGTTGAGTTATGGATACTTCTTGGTACTGGGTACTAAGTCTCGGTACTTGGTAAGGAAACAGGGGCACAGTGGCACGACACACACACACACACCACACACACACACACACCACACACACAAGAGAAGAGAAGAGAGAGAGAGAAGAGAGAGAGAGAGAGAGAAAGAGAGAGACAGAGGAGAGAGAGAGAGAGGAGAGAGAGAGAGAGAAGAGAGAGACGAGAGAGAGGGAGAGAGAGGAGAGAGAGAGAGGAGAGAGAGAGAGAGAGAGAGAGAGAGAGACAGAGAGCAGAGAGAGAGAGAAGAGACAGGAGATGGTATTTGGCACTGAGTAGGCCCTTGGTATTGGATTGTGTGAACCGGGGGTGTGACTAGTTTCCAGTGCGAAATGCTAGGCACTTCACGAAACACACAGATGAAATCTGGACTGAAATCTGCGTCGATGAGCGAAAGGTTTGCACTCAGACAGCTCAACAACAAACTTACAAATGTGCTTTTAAAATCTATATCATTCTCCTTTTCGTGACGTAACACTGACACTTCTAAGCATATACCCCAATTACGTTATAATTTAACTCTGACTTTAGGATTGTCTAAGGCTCAAGATATGAGAAATGCTTTTGTTGCATATGACCTGGCATGACCTCTCTCTCTCTCTCTCCCTTCTTCCCTCCCCTACTCCCTACTCTTTCTCCCTCCTCCTTCCCTCCCCTACTCCCTACTCTTTCTCCCACCCTCTTCCCTACCCTTTCCCCTTCTCTCTCCCTCCCTTTTCCTAACTCCATCCTCTTCCCTCTCCCTACCCTCCCTCCATCTCCTCCCTACCCTTTCCCCCCCTCCCCTTCATCTCCATCTCCCTACCTTTTTTCCCTTCTCTCTCCCTACCCTTTCCCCTCCCCCTTTCTCTCCCTACCCTTCCTCCATCTCCTTCTCCTTACCCTTCCCCCTCCCCCTTCCTCTCCCTACCCTTTCCCACCCTTCCCTCCATCTCCTCCCTACCCTTTCCCTCCCTTCCTCTCCCTCTCCCTACCCTTTCCAACCCTTCCTCCATCTCCTTCTCCCTCCCCCTTCCTCTCCCTCTCCCTACCCTTCCCTCCTCTCCCTACCCATCATCCCTCCCACCCACCCTCCCCTCTCCCTACCCTTCTCCCTTCCTCTCCCTCTCCTCCCTCCATCTCCCTACCCATCATCCCTCCCCCTTCCTCTCCCTACCCATCCCCCTTCTCCCACCCACCCTCCCCCCTTCTCCCTCCCTCTCCCCCCCCTCTCCCTTTCCCCCTTCTCACTCACCTTCCCTGTCCGCCCTGACACGTGCCCTCCCTCGCCACCTCGAAGCCATCGGGGTTCATGGAGGGCAGGATGTGGATGCGGGTGTTGTCCAGCAGCCACCGCACGTAGTCGTCCGTGTGGTAACTCTTGGCCAAGTACTGCGGGGAGAAAAAAAGGGGGGGGAGGGTTAATGAATCGCTGGTCAGGGAAAACAGTAATGAGTCGTTAAGGTCAGTAATTAGTCATTAAGGTCATTAATTAGTCAGCAATTAGTCATTAAGGTCATTAGTCAGCAATTAGTCATTAGGTCATTTAATTAGTCAGCAATTAGTCATTAAGGTCATAATTAGTCGCAATTAGTCATTAAGGCATTTAAGTCATTAAGGTCATTAGTCATTAATGTCATTAATTAGTCATTAACAGTCAGTAAAGTCATTAATCGAGAGGTAAAGTTATTAACTAGGCAGTAGAGTCAGTAATTAGTCATTAAGGCCATTAATAAGTCATTAAGGTCATTAATTCAGTAAAGTTATTAATCAGGAGGTAAAGTTATTAATTAGTCAGTAAAGTCAGTAATTAGTCATTAAGGTAATTAATTAGTCAAAGTCAGGAGTAAAGTAATTATTAATCAGTCATTAAGGATCGGTAAAAGTCATTAATTAGTTAATTAAGCAGTTAAGTCAGTAATTAGCCATCCAGGTCATTAATTAGTAAGTAAAGTCAGAAATTAGACATTAAGGCCATTAATTAGTAAAGTCATTAAATAAGAGGTAAAGTGATTAATTGGACAGAAGTCATTCATTAGGAAACAGTTATTAATTAGGCAGTAAAGTCATTAAATAGGAGGTAAAGCAGTAAGGTCATTAATTAGGAAGTAATCAATTTGGAGATAAAGTAATCAGTGAGGCAGTAAAAGTTATTAAATAAGCAGCAAGGTCATTAATTAGTCAAACACGTCAATAACGAGGAAGCTAAGTCAGTAATTAGGCAGTAAAGTAATTAGGAGATAGTCATTAATTAGGCAGTAAGGCCAATAATCAGCTAAGTCAGTAATTAGGCAGTAAAGTAATTAGGAGATAGTCATTATTATCAGCAAGCAATAATCAGCTAAGTCAGTAATTTAAAGTAATTAGGAATAGTCATAATTAGTCAGTAAGGCCAATAATCAGCTAAGTCAGTAATTAGGCAGTAAAGTAATTAGGAGAAGTCATTATTAGTCAGTAAGGCCATAATCAGCTAAGTCAGTAATTTAGGCGTAAGTTAATAGGAGATAGTCATTAATTAGTCAGTAAGGCCAATAATCAACTAAGTCAGTAATTAGGCAGTAAAGTAATTAGGAGATAGTCATTAATTAGTCAGTAAGGCCAATAATCAGCTAAGTCAGTAATTAGGCAGTAAAGTAATTAGGAGATAGTCATTAATTAGGCAGTAAGGCCAATAATCAGCTAAGTCAGTAATTAGGCAGTAAAGTAATTAGGAGATAGTCATTAATTAGTAAGGCCAAATAATCAGCTTAAGTCAGTAATTAGGCAGTAAAGTAATTAGGAGATAGTCATTAATTAGTCAGTAAGGCCAATAATCAGCTAAGTCCAGTAATTAGGCAGTAAAAGTAATTAGGAGATAGTCATTAATTAGTAGTAAGGCCAATAATCAGGTAAGTCAGTAATTAAGCAGAATAAAAAAAACCGTCAACAGTTTATATAGATTTTCAGTGAAGTAAATTGATAGATGAATATTCACTGAAATTAATGCATATTCACGGTGCAATTAACAGTAATTAAGCAAAATGAGTTAAAATAAATAGAATCAGTAAAAACGAGAAACGAGACAAAATAGAAATAAGCCAAAATGAGTTAAAATAAATGAGAATCAGTAAAAATCGAGAAACACGAGACAAAATCAGAAATAAGTCAAAATGAGAAAATAAAATGAGAATCAGTAAAAATCGAGAAACACGAGACAAAATTAGAAATAAGTCAAAATGAGTTAAAATAAATGAGAATAAGTAAAAAATCGAGAAACACGAGACAAAATCAGAATAAGTCAAAATGAGTTAAAATAAATGAGAATCAGTAAAAATCGAGAAACACGAGGAGTCAAAATTAAAATAAATGAGAATCAGTAAAAAATCGAGAAACACGAACAAAATTAGAAATAAGTCAAAATTGAGTTTAAAATAAATGAAATCAGTAAAAATCGAGAACACGAGACAAAATTTAAAAAATAAGTCAAAATGAGTTAAAATAAATGAGAATCAGTAAAATTTCGAGAAAACACGAGACAAAATTTTAAAAATAAAGTCAAAATGAGTTAAAATAAAATGAGAATCAGTAAAAATCGAGAAAACACGAGACAAAAAGAAATAAGTCAAAATGAGTTAAAAATAAATGAGAATCAGTAAAAATCGAGAAACACGAGACAAAATTAGAAATAAGTCAAAATGAGTTAAAATAAATGAGAATCAGTAAAAATCGAGAGAAACACGAGACAAAATTAAATAAGTCAAAATGAGTTAAAATAAATGAGAATCAGTAAAAATCGAGAAACACGAGACAAAATTAGAAATAAGTCAAAATGAGTTAAAATAAATGAGAATCAGTAAAAATTGAGAAACACGAGACAAAATTAAAAAAATAAGTCAAAATGAGTTAAAATAAATGAGAATCAGTAAAAATCGAGAAACACGAGACAAAATTAAAAAATAAGTCAAAATGAGTTAAAATAATGAGAAATCAGTAAAAATCGAGAAACACGAGACAAAATAGAAATAAGTCAAAATGAGTTAAAATAAATGAGAATCAGTAAAATCGAGAAACACGAGACAAAATTAGAAATAAGTCAAAATGAGTTAAAATAAATGAGAATCAGTAAAAATCGAGAAACACGAGACAAAATTAGAAAATAGTCAAAAATGAGTTAAAATAAATGAGAATCAGTAAAAATCGAGAAACACGAGACAAAATTAAAAATAAGTCAAAATGAGTTAAAATAAATGAGAATCAGTAAAAATCGAGAAACACGAGACAAAATAAAAAAATAAGTCAAAATGAGTTAAAATAAATGAGAATCAGTAAAAAATCGAGAAACACGAGACAAAATTAGAAATAAGTCAAAATGAGTTAAAATAAATGAGAATCAGTAAAAAATCGAGAAACACGAGACAAAATTAGAAATAAGTCAAAATGAGTTAAAATAAATGAGAATCAGTAAAAATCGAGAAACACGAGACAAAATTAGAAATAAGTCAAAATGAGTTAAAATAAATGAGAATCAGTAAAAATCGAGAAAACACGAGACAAAATTAAAAATAAGTCAAAATGAGTTAAAATAAATGAGAATCAGTAAAAATCGAGAAACACGAGACAAAATTAAAAATAAGTCAAAATGAGTTAAAATAAATGAGAATCAGTAAAAATTGAGAAACACGAGACAAATTAGAAATAAGTCAAATGAGTTAAAATAAATGAGAATCAGTAAAAATCGAGAAACACGAGACAAAATTTAAAAAATAAGTCAAAATGAGTTAAAATAAATGAGAATCAGTAAAAAATCGAAGAAACACGAGACAAAATTAGAAAATAAGTCAAAATGAGTTAAAATAAATGAGAATCAGTAAAAATCGAGAAACACGAGACAAAATTAAAAAAATAAGTCAAAATGAGTTAAAATAAATGAGAATCAGTAAAAAATCGAGAAACACGAGACAAAATTAGAAATAAGTCAAAATGAGTTAAAATAAATGAGAATCAGTAAAAAGAGAAACACGAGACAAAATTAGAAATAAGTCAAAATGAGTTATAATGAGAATCAGTAAAAAGAGAAACAGAGACAAAATTAGAAATAAGTCAAAATGAGTTTAAAAATAAATGAGAATCAGTAAAAATCGAGAAACACGAGACAAAAATTAGAATAAGTCAAAATGAGTTAAAATAAATGAGAATCAGTAAAAATCGAGAAACACGAGACAAAATTAGAAATAAGTCAAAATGAGTTAAAATAAATGAGAATCAGTAAAAATCGAGAAACACGAGACAAAATTAGAAATAAGTCAAAATGAGTTAAAATAAATGAGAATTCAGTAAAAATCGAGAAACACGAGACAAAATTAAAAATAAGTCAAAATGAGTTAAAATAAATGAGAATCAGTAAAAATCGAGAAACACGAGACAAATAGAAATAAGTCAAAATGAGTTAAAATAAATGAGAATCAGTAAAAATCGAGAAACACGAGACAAAATTAAAAAAATAAGTCAAAATGAGTTAAAATAAATGAGAATCAGTAAAAATCGAGAAACACGAGACAAAATTAAAAAATAAGTCAAAAATGAGTTAAAATAAATGAGAATCAGTAAAAAAAACGAGAAACACGAGAACAAAATTAGAAATAAGTCAAAATGAGTTAAAATAAATGAGAATCAGTAAAAAATCGAAAACAACGAGACAAAATTTAAAAATAAGTCAAAATGAGTTAAAATAAATGAGAATCAGTAAAAATCGAGAAACACGAGACAAAATTAAGAAAATAAGTCAAAATGAGTTTAAAATAAATGAGAATCAGTAAAAAATCGAGAAACACGAGACAAAATAGAAATAAGTCAAAATGGAGTTAAAATAAATGAGAATCAGTAAAAATCGAGAAACACGAACAAAATTAGAAAATAAGTCAAAATGAGTTAAAATAAATGAGAATCAGTAAAAAATCGAGAAACACGAGACAAAATTAAAAAAATAAGTCAAAATGAGTTAAAATAAATGAGAATCAGTTAAAAAATCGAAAACACGAGACAAAATTAAGAAATAAGTCAAAATGAGTTAAAAATAAATGAGAATCATTAAAAAAGAGAAACACCGAAGACAAAATAGAAATAAGTCAAAATGAGCGTTAAAAATAAATGACGATCAGTAAAAAATCGAGAAACACGAGAGACAAAAATCAGAAATAAGTCAAAATGAGTCAAATAAATGAGGAATCAGGTAAAATTGACCAATAAATTGCAACACAAGGCGATTCATAGTCCCAGAAAATTTCCACTCAGAATTAAAGATATATCAAACCAAATCAACAATCTA